ACTCCTACTAGGTACCTAGCACTCACTCCTACTAGGCTTTCTCTACTCAGCCCTCACTCCTACTGAGCCCCCAGCTCTCACTCCTACTGGGGTATCCAAACACAGTACTCTTGTCTCAAACCAGTACTGCATCCCTTTATCAAACTTGTCATCGCCATGTCTTTGTATCAATGTGAGCTTGTTTCTCATATTCTTTTCCAAGCGTTTAGCTAAAAGAGAAGCCGGAGTGTCTACTTCCCCATGTCTTCTTCGATTCCTTTCACACCAAACCATATACACTGTGGCTTGAAACATGTATTTGATGATGAAAACCTGCAGCCTACTTCTTGATTTATCCCTCATAATAGCCAGCAATTCATCCCAACAACCAGTATAGCTGTCTTTTAGAACTCCCTTCATCAGCTTTTCCCATATGTGAGCCGTATATGTTATAAGATCATTTAAAGGATAACTTTTATAAGTTCCTTTTATGTGATTCTTGTAAGTTGTAAGCAAGAACGTGAATGTGATAGATATTAGTTTTTTAAAATATAATTAGAGCTTGATCCATCTGTGCGGATATTATTCTTTTCTTTTTAATATAAATTATTATTTATTTTTAGTGATTAGAGTTATATATTTAAATGTGTCACCATATAATTAATTATATATTATTTATTTTGAATATTTTTGCGTTCTTTTTATCCGAAAGACGTTCAATTTAAAATTCAAAATCCAATATTTAAAATAAACGATTTGTATTCGAATAAATACTTTAATACCTATTTCTAATTGAATCGGTAGATAGATAAATTTTTTTTTTTTTTTTTTGAATTTATGTTCTGAAGGAAGTGATTTCATTCAAACTTCTCGAATTATTTTGTTTAATATATAAAATAAATTCTATCGAATGATTATGTTGAAGACAATTAATAAAATAGTTAGAAAAATTAAATGTAAAAGATACAACACTTAAAAATAGATAATTATTATTTTGTGTTTTTGTAATAAATGCTATATGGGGTTTGGAAAATACAAGAAATGAACTAATTAGAATTATTTTGAAAGAAAAGAAAATATGTAAATAATCAGTTAAGAAATTGTAAGAAGTTTTTTGAACTTCTGTTTTAATAGAGTAGAACAAATTTTGACCCGCGCTTAGAAAGTGTGAGATAATTTTTTGGTGAAATATAATCATATTTTCTCTTTATTTAAAAAGATCAGACCATAAAATCCATAAACATAAGTGTTATTAGCCGAATCCGAACGGGTAATCTGAAAAACCAAAAAATTGAAAAATTAAAAAACTTATATAAATGTCCAGGCTAATCATATATATAAAAATTTGAAACATAAATATTTATTCAGATTATCAATTTTTATATTTATTTTTAATAATATATAATACTAAGTATTAAATTTTAAAGTACATTAAATATCCAATCAATGTTTCTCTTTTAAATTATAGATATATTTGAACCGAATCAAACCAATATAACATGAATCCGAATGATATATGATTATTTTATAGGTTTTCGGACGTGATACAAAGAACCAAAATTATGTGTTATATCCGAACCCGATCCATATTTACAAATTTGTCAGAAAGAGGCATAAGATGTGATATAGTTTAGAATCAGAATTCCAAATGCCCAACCCGTATCTCAACAGATATTTTAAAGCCCAAACCTAACTTAAAGTGTGTTTTATGTTTTGTTCAATTATATTTATATTTAATAAATATTTTACATGTTTTTGGAATAATCCGTACAACTATACTCATAAAATATCAATAATGACATGCTTCATCATATCATTAAATATTAGTAATATCTAATTATATGTGTGTCTAATTTTAATACTTTATCTTGAAAAGTTATATAATTATGTATTTGATGAGGGTTTTGAAGAATTTGTTTTTTGCATTTGGATTAAAGTAAAATTGTATATAAACATATTAGCAGACATCTATGATTTTTCATATTAATAAATACTATATAATTGATTACTTAATTAAAATTAGTGTTAATATAAATTGAATTTCTTATTTTTAAAATATAATAGATTAGTTATTTATAGAACCCCTAAATTTAAAATAACCAAATCAAATTTTTTTATCTGAAACACTAAGAAACTAGAAATTTTAAAAAGCATTTTTTGATCAAATTAGATCATTTTAAATCGGAATTTTACTAAATATATAGCTTAAATTAGATATGTTTCAATTTTTTATTCATCTATAAATATATTCCTTTGTCTTTGTAATTTTAAAACACCTTTATTTCATTATCTAAGATGAAAAATGCTTTTCAACCTTCACTTATTGGTCTTGTTATGGTCACAATTATTCTGTTCGGTTTATATTTATATTTACCATTTTAGTACACTATATTCAGTAAGAATTTATAATTATAGTTATTACAAAAGACAAAAAAAAAAAACAAAAAAAAACTAGTTATGTTAATTATGTGTACAAACAAGAAACCGCATGGTATGTTATAGCAGCGTGGGAACTAATATCGTGTAGATATAAAATTAGTTGACGAATGATACAAGTTTTGTTGAAGTGATAGTGATATGGGTTTGAAAAAGTCGCGGTTGCATGTGACATAAGAAGGAAAGAAAGAGAAAGAAAGAAAAAGAAAAAAAAATGAACAATTACCACAATTCTTACACCTTCTCCTTCTTCTTGGTACTAGTAGTGTTCATTGTGCTTGGTCCGGCCACTTCAATCGCCGTCACCGTCAGTACTTTGTCATCATCGGAATCACTAACTATCTCAAGCAATAGAACACTTGTATCACCGGGTGGAGTCTTCGAGCTTGGTTTCTTCAAACCCTCGGCGCGTTCGCGCTGGTACCTAGGGATGTGGTATAAGGAAGACGTTGAGAGAACCTACGTGTGGGTTGCCAACAGAGACAACCCTCTCTACAATTCCATCGGAACCCTCAAAATCTCTGGAAACAGTCTTGCCCTGCTAGGTCAGTCTAATATCACTATTTGGTCCACCAATCTTCCTCGCGGTAAACGGTTCTGCTACTTGTCACTGTATTACAGGGTTTGTTCCAAACGACGAGGCTGCTTGGGAGTTGAGACTATATGCCTCTGGCTGTAGGCGGACGAAGCAGCTTAGCTGTAGGACAGATAATCTGTTTTTCCAACTAAATAGTAGGAAATTGCCGGATATTACTAAGACGGCGACCTTGGATCGTGGAATCCATGTGAAGGACGGTGTCTTAGAGATTGCAGATGTATAGCGTTTGCGAGTAGTCAAAGAGATGGAATGGGCTGTGTGATTTGGACAGGAGAGGAGCTCTTAGATATCCAGACTTTTTACCTCAACGCTACTCAACGCCTGCTGTATATTAAAATGTCTCCAGGTATATATTGTGAGAAATATATTGTGAAAGCTAGTCCTTTATTCATATCATACGAAAGAGTATATTATATACAATAGATTAGATGAGATCCTAAATTAGCTAGGTATTGTACATTAGAGATAAGGCTAAATCATATTAGGAATAGGACCCCCTTTATATTGTATCACTTATTAAAATGCCTAAAAGTTAGATCGAGTTGGTCATATATATGCTTAATTAATAGCTTTTTTTGTTACAGATTTTTCCTCTGGTGGTGAGAAGAGAGACCGAACTGGAAAAATCTTAGGTTGGAGTATTGGAGCCACCGTTACGCTTCTTTTGACTGTTATCCTCTTCTGCTTTTGGAAGAGGAGACAGAAGCAAGCAAAAGCAGATGCTGCAACACCTATTGGTAATTATATAAATCATTTTTTATTTACTCTCATTTTCTATCTTCTGATCCTTTCTTTATGTGTTTTAATAATAATAATAATAATAAAATAGTCTCTCAAGTGGGTCTAATCTGCGAGATGGTGTTACCAACAAAGAAGAGAAATCTGTCAGGTGAAGACCAAATAGAAGAATTGGAACTTCCATTGATGGAGTTTGAAGCTGTTGTCACAGCCACCGATCAATTTTCTGACTCTAACAAAGTTGGAAAAGGTGGTTTTGGTGTTGTTTACAAGGTATAAATAAATTAACACTACCGATTCATAGTAAACTGTTTAAAAAAGTACTACAATAATATATATATATTAGGTGTTTTGTCCGCACTTGCGGGCTTAATAATTTTACTAATATCTATAAATAAATATATAATCAATTTATGTAAATTATAATAAATTATAATTCATAGAATCAAAATATTTAATAATAAACTAAACAAAATCTTTCTATATATAAAATTTTTCATCATCATAAAAATAATTTTCATTACACAACTTATATTTGAAAATACTCATGAACTTAAAACATTTAGTAATAAATTAATATTATTTTTAGATATAACAAAAAAGTACAAAAAATTATCTTTAATAATGTTTTGGATAACACAATATAAATTATCTATACATAAATTCTTTGCGAATTTATTTTTCATAATTAACTATATATTAACAAATAGAATTATTTTTCAACGTTAATAAAGACTTTATAACACAATATAAAAAAGTTAGATAAAGATAATTATCAAATTCATGAGATTCATTTTTTAATTTAGAATTAATTATATTTTAACAAATATAATTATTTTTCAAGGTTGATAAAGACTTTATCACATAATATAAAAACATTAAAATAAGGATAATTATTAAATAAATGAAATTCATTTTTATTTTATAATTAATTATATATTAAATAATATAATTATTTTTCAAGGTTAAAAAGAGTTTATAACCCAATATAAAATAGTTTTAGATAAAGATAAATCTAAAATCATTGAAATTCATTTTTATTTATGTTTAATTATATTAAAAAATTTAATTATTCATCTAGGATATAAACAATATTAACCGCTCTAACTTTCAACGTGAAAGTTACAAATTAATCAGAAAATTCACTTAAATTTTATAATTGAAAATATATTTTTAAGATAACAATCAAATACAAAATAATTAACATATTTTCTAAAAATATAATATTATTAACATAAATTCTTTTTTTTTATTTTATAATAAATTATTAAAAAATGAAAAATAAGCAAAATAACCTAAAATCATGGAGAAGTTGACAACTAAGCAAATTTACTTCTAAAATAATAATTGAAATATATTTTTAAGATAACAATCTAATACAAAAGAATTAATATATTTTCTAAAAATATAATATTATTAACATAAATTCGTTTTTACTATATAATAAATTATTAAAACATGAGAATAAGCAAAATACCCTAAAATCATGGATAAGTTGACAATTAAGCAAATTTACTTCTCAAATAATGTTATATATATATATATATATATTTATATAAAGTATGTAGAATTAATTTTCAAAAAATAAATATAAACGAGAGGAAAAAAAACTGATTATCAAATAAGAAGCCAATAAGAAATAAAGTCGACTTTAAATATAAACAAGTGTGATACAAAGAAAAAAATGTTAATTTTCTTTACAAAAAATAGTTTAATACATGGGTCTTTGTGTTTTTTTTTGTGTGGATAAATTCAAAATAAAATTAACACAATGTAAAATAAAAAAGGTACTCTTAAATACGCTCCTAAGATTTTATTTGAAAGCAAAAGGCCCTAAGTTAGATATGTGTCACCACCAGGGAAGGTTAGTTGACGGGAAAGAAATTGCAGTGAAGAGACTATCGGAAATGTCAACTCAGGGTACCAATGAGTTCATGACCGAAGTTAGATTAGTGGCTAAGCTTCAGCATATAAACCTTGTCAAACTACTTGGCTGTTGTGTTTATAATGGCGAGAAGATTCTAATTTACGAGTACTTGGAGAATGGAAGCCTCGATTGTCATCTCTTTGGTTAGTGCTTCATAACAGCCTTATATTTGACAATTGAATCAATTTCTTCGATCTGTTGTGAATTATGTGCAGATAAAACCAGAAGCTGTTTGTTAAATTGGCAGACGAGATTTGATATTATCAATGGTATTGCCCGAGGGCTTCTGTATCTTCACCAAGACTCACGGTTTAGAATCATCCATAGGGATTTGAAAGCAAGCAATGTCTTGCTTGATAAAGATATGACTCCAAAAATTTCAGACTTTGGAATGGCTAGGATCTTTGGACGGGATGAGACGGAAGCTAATACAAGGAAGGTGGTCGGAACTTAGTAAGTAATTTTTTTAATTATATCCAAGTATATATTTGAAACAGAGAGAAGCTACGATCGAACATGGTATTTTAATATGTATATATATTTTTTAAATGCAGTGGCTATATGTCCCCAGAATATGCGATGAATGGGACATTCTCGATGAAGTCAGATGTGTTCAGCTTTGGGGTCTTGCTTCTTGAAATTATAAGTGGCAAGAGGAATAAAGGCTTCTGCGACTCGGATAGTAATCTTAATCTTCTCGGACACGTGAGATTTCGAAAACCACCCTTCTCTTTTATTTGACTTTATTTTTGGCCCCCCCATATAATCTTCTTAATAAGAAAAGATACCGATCACCAGGTGTGGAGAAAATGGGAACAAGGTCGAGGTCTAGAGATAGTAGACGTCATAGATACGACATCACGGCCACGTGAAATCTTAAGATGCATACAAATCGGTCTATGGTGTGTTCAAGAACTTGTAGAGGATAGACCAGTGATGTCGTCAGTAGTTTTGACGCTCGGAAGTGAACAAGTATTGATTCCTCAACCTAAACAGCCAGGTTACTGTCTCGGCAGCGGAAGTTCTCTTGATGATACCAAACATCGTGACGACGAAGCTGGCACATTCAATCAAATCACCAAGTCGATCATTGACGCTAGATGACTCATTGTGTGTGGGGGGGGGGGGGGGGTCTCATAAATAATACCAAACCAAACGAAAAGGATAAGATTTTTTTAAGTTATATGAGCCATTAGATCAAAATAACGAAAAGGATACCGTTATTTTTCGTGGTTTATATTTGTCATGCTTAATGTTTGTGACTATTCCGTAACTATTTATTAAAAAAAAAAACAATTAATAAATTTAAAACAATACAAATATGTATTTCGTATATATGGTGGTGTCATATACATATTACATCATACATATAACATATATACACACACATATATGGAGATTCGGTTTGATAATGGATTCGATAGTGGTTGATAAAAAGATTATGTGAGTGGGGAGTAGAAGAAAGAAATTATGTGACCAGAATTGAAGAAATCGATTTGATTTGTTTGTGTTAGGAGAAAGAGAATCGTTTGTAGATAAAGAGAAACACTTGTTTACAGAGGAAAAAGGTACATGGGAGAGAGAACGAGAGAAAAAAAGAAACAAGTAATATGAGCCATTAGATCAAATGGATCAATGGTTAAGAAGACAGTTATCCTTGTCAAAAGGAATACACTAACACATATCACATATGCATCCTCTACCATTATACGATTTTGTTATTTCTAGGTATTTGTTGGTTGATAGTTTTCAGATAATTTAGTTTATTAAATATAAAGTTTAAAATGTTATGTACAAGTTAACTTTAAAATTTTGGAATTTTTAAGGATTCAGTTCACATTTAAAATGATTTAGTTCACATTTAAAAGGAGATAAACTAGATATTGTTTTTAAACTACAAGTCTAGCTTCTGAGTATATATAAAAATAGATTTTTTTATATACATTTTTTAACTAACTAAAAATTATATTTGAATCATTTCATTATTTACGTTTTGAGGTTTGGATAAAGTTTGAGTAGTGTTTGTGGTTATATTTAAAGTTATGATTTGAAAAAAAAATAATCAAAATCTTTTAACTTTGTATAAGAGTTAAATCTTTTAGAGTTTGTTTTACTTGGCTCTAGTACTAAAGTATCACTCTGGTTTCTCCTTTGAGCCACCGCCACTTCGTACCCCGATCTTACGGTATAGTTCCCCGAAGTTGTATGTGATTGATATTAGTTTTTTTTTTAGTAGAATTTTCCCTAATTTTAAAATCATTACTTGTTATTTTGTGAATTTTAAATTAGTTTTAAAAGATTGTAAAAATATTATTTATGGGATTAATCAAAAAGGGGACAAAGCTGTAAGAACAAGAAAAAAAACTTACCAAAAAAAGAAGGAAGTACTTATAATTCAATGCTCCTACACAGTTAACAACCCATACACAATGGTGATCCATCGTCAACACACACCTACCACCTATGTAACACAATCAGCCACACCATTCAACTTCAAGATTCTCCATATTAAAAAAAAAAAGAACCTACAAACAGAGCAATGATGGCAACGAGGAGGTTTAGGTTGATTGCACTTCCTACAAAACCTAACTCTAGGGTTTGAAGATTTTGTCTGTAAACCCACAAACTCCAGACTAGTTAACGGATCAGATTCACCCCTCTCTTCATCAATAGCTGGTATCAAATTAGGTGGCACAACACCAGGATCAGTGAAAACAATAGAGAAGTAGCTCCACAAAAGCATCGCCAGCTGCAACAACAACAAGACTACACTAGTTCACATCCTAAAGCAACACACTTAAACTAGTTCACATCTAAAGCAACAAACTTTAGCCTAGTTCACATCCTAAACCAACAAACTTAGAGACTAGTTAACATCTTTTTTTTTTTTTTGGACAAAGAGACTAGTTAACATCTAAAGCAACAAACTTACACTAGTTCACATCTAAAAGCAACAAACTTTAGACTAGTTCTCCACAGTAACAAACTTAGACTAGTTCACATCTAAAGCAACAAACTTTAGACTAGTTCTCTACAGTAACAAACTTAGACTAGTTCACATCTAAAAGCAACAAACTTTACACTAGTTCACATCTAAAGCAACAAACTTACTCTAGTTCACATCTAAAGGAACAAACTTTAGACTAGTTCACATCTAAAGGAACAAACTTAGACTTAGTTCACATCTANCTAGTTCTCTACAGTAACAAACTTAGACTAGTTCACATCTAAAAGCAACAAACTTTACACTAGTTCACATCTAAAGCAACAAACTTACTCTAGTTCACATCTAAAGGAACAAACTTTAGACTAGTTCACATCTAAAGGAACAAACTTAGACTTAGTTCACATCTAAAAGCAACAAACTTAGAGACTAGTTCACATCTAAGGTAACAAAATTAGAGACTAGTTCACATCTACAGTAACAAACTTAGACTAGTTAACATCTAAAGCAAAAAACTTTAGACTAGTTCACATCTAAAGCAACAAACTTAGTCTAGTTCACATCTAAAAGCAACAAGCTTAGACTAGTTCACATCTAAAGCAACAAGCTTTACTAACTAAATTGAACCTTTACCAACCAAGGAAGCTTTTGAAGCAAGAATTAATGATTTAAAAGGAAACCCATATCGAAAGATTTGAGCTTTCGTTACTTACAAGTAAATGCAAGAGGACAAGGATGGTAAGAGCTAGAAGGGAATCAAGGCCTCCTTGAGAGAGAGCATGTCCATAATTAGTCAAAAAGACGACGTAATAAGTAACACCGACAATACCGAGAACTAATAAGATCATGATGGATCCGAGACCTCGTAAAGCTGTACATAACATAAACACGTTCCACGCCATTGCAGTACCATATCTATGCATACTAGTCAAAGATTCGATTTTACAGAATTTGAAAAGAGGAGTTTAAAACGAGGAGTGATTTTCATTTATTCCATAGATGCAATAGAGCTTAAAGAATGAGACTTGGTCTCCGTTTTTGGAGCTAATGAGAAATTTTCAGAAGAAACTAAAGGTTTGTGATTTTTATTTTTTAATGACTTTGAGATGAATCAGTCTTTCACGATCCCATAATTGTAAAATATATTTTTTACCCGTACTTTTTTTTTTTTGTTTTATCTACAAAATCTTTTGTTTTGATGATATGAAATATTACTATCTAATATAACTTTAAAAATTAATGCAAATTTTAATTTATTGATATCATCAATATCTATGTAAATGTATTATATGTAATTGTGTAGTTTTATTTTGAAAAAAAAATAATATCAATTAACTACACTTGATGCCGAGAAACAGGTCAAACTCGCCCGGCTTGACCCACAAAGAAAATATATTTGTCTGCATATGCTCCACTTAATTTTGTGGGTAATCTACAAACCTGTGAATAACTATTAAATAATAAAAATTTTTTTTTATAAAAGTAATATTTTTAAATTAAATATTTAATATTAAAAAATATAATTATTTTTATCGACATTTAGTATATTTTTGAAAAATAAACTAAAAACAATTATTTTTGTGGATTACTGGATACTCGTAACTGTAATTAGAATAAATCGCATCTATCCCGCGTAAAATACACTTGATCCGCACCTGCAATCGACATAGTCAATCCACGGGTTAATATCAAAATTCTCAGGTCTAACTACGCCCATTAAAGTTGATGTGTTTATTTTTGAAAAAAACTTCATAAATAGTTAAAAAGTGAATTTAGTTCATTAATGAATCCATTATCATATTGTTTTTTGGTCCAAAAACCAAAAGAATATATTGTCATTAATGAAAATAAAAATTTGTTCATGTCATTAAAAATAATTTTGGAAAACCTAAAAACTCATTAAAAGAGGAATAATCATGTTTAAACTGTATTGACGTAATTTTTTTTTTAAAATAAATTATTTCGTTAAATTGCTAATTTGTCCCGGCAAACAAAAAGTAAAAAAAAAAAAAAATTTTAAAGGAAAACGATAAAAAGAATCGCCCACCGTGGGGCTCAAACCCACGACCACAAGGTTAAGAGCCTTGCGCTCTACCAACTGAGCTAGACGGGCTTGTTGTTGTAGTCAAACTCATCTTATTCTATCAACTGAGAAATATGTAGTTGTAGATCTATTTTATCGCTTATTAGGCTTTAAACGATCCAATATTAACACTGGCCCATTGGGCCGCAGTAATAAGCATATGAAACATGTTTGCTACTCGTCGGTTCTTCTTTGGTTCTCATTTCAAAGGTTGAAGAAGAGAGGACTCTTCTGAAGAGATGGCTTCCATGGTGTCACCGACCACTTGCTTATACCTCCATAAACGCCGGTTAAAGCTTCCCTCACATGGTCTTCTTCGTATAACCGCTTCGATCCCAGACTCTTCAGATGAGAAACATCCCAAGTTAACCACTCGAAGGTACTAACTACTAATACTCTGTTTATCATTTGAACCAATTATCTGACTTGAAATTTTATTTGGAATTGGTAGAGAGATGATTCTTAGGAGCAGTGAACTAGCTATGATCGGAGCCATTTTCCAGCTCAGGTATATGTTTTTATTTCCGACAGATGTCCACGAGTTATGGTTTGGTGGTAATGATATTATGTTTGGTTTGGTTTTTAAGTGGGAAGAAACCAGATTATCTTGGAGTACAGAAGAACGAGAGGTTAGCTCTATGTCCTGCTACAAACAACTGTATATCTACTTCGGAGAGTGTCAGCGATCGTGTCCACTATGCTCCACCATGGAACTATAACGGTGGAAGGAAAGCGCCTGTGAGCAGAGAAGCTGCAATGAAAGAGCTTATCAATGTGGTAAGAGAGCCTTGAATAAGTTAAGTGTTTGTTTGGTGAATGAGTTGTATCAAGAGATGGGTTTTTGTTGCAGATTAAGTCGACGAAACCAGACAAGTTTACTCCTCGGATTGTGGAGAAGAAGGATGACTATGTTCATGTGGAGTATGAAAGTCCTATCTTAGGTGTAAGTAGTAAAGCATAAGCTTTTCTGTTGTCTTGGCGTCAAAGACCATATCTTAAAACATGTTGTCTTTGGCAGTTGGTAGATGATGTTGAGTTCTTGTTCTCTCCTGGGAAGAACTCGACAGTGGAGTATCGATCTGCATCACGTAAAGGCAACTTCGACTTTGATGTGAACAGAAAGCGAATCAAGGTAAAGAAACTTGGATGGTGATAGTCTCTCTCTGATAGGCTGATGATTCATTCATCTGCTTTCATTTTTTTAAATCTATACAGGCATTGCGACAGGAGCTGGAGAAGAAGGGATGGGAATCAGAGAACAGCTTCTGATTATTGATTAATTATGATTGTCAATACTCAAATGTTACTAGAAACTCTTCCAAAACAACTTTTTTGTCATAAATAAGAAAAGGGAGAATCTGTTAACACACAAGGAAACAAACTTCAAACACAGTTCAAGATAACAGAGGGGGAGCCTAGTGTTTGAGCCTAGCAAAGGTGTGCTTAGTCTTTCCTCAAGTCCATGACTTCTGTCCTAATCCCATCAGCCTTGAGAATCATAATCTCAAGCTTGTCTCCCTATTACAAACAAAACCAATCCACAACGCATTAGGTCAGCCATACATGAGCCATTAGTTATCACAAGAAGAGACAAAACTCACAGTGTAGATATCCCTCTCAGTGGCAGAAGCGAACACAGTCTTAACCAAATCAACTGCTTCAGGTTCACTAAGAGGTGTGATAGCATCCTACACAGCCAGAAAACGTAAAACTAAGCAACTTGAAATGATTCATCAAGTGCTTAAACTGAGAAAAAAAAGGCAAACCTGGGCAGGAAGCAAGAGCGGGCTAGGACTCTTGAGCTGATTATCAAGGAAAGGCATAATGAGAGTGGAACCAGAGCCTTGAGCACTGTATCCAACCTTCTCATAAGACCCCACAGCATCATAAGTAAAGACACAACCTTTTCCTGAATTATTTTTTGCACAGAAGGCACAACTTAACACAACTCCTACACTAAATCACAATAGCAAAACCCAAAGAGAAAGTAGAATGCTTTGTTTCACCTTCCTCATCAAGCCCACCAAGAACATTAAAAGCATAGTAAGGAAAAAACCGCTTGAAGTAAAGCGTGTTGGAGAGAAGCTGAGCCATTGCAGGACAACTCATCTGCTTGTTATGCTGATGCTGATAAACCTATTAAAAGACACACACACTTTTTATCACACACAAAAGTCTTTATTAGTGCTGGGCCTAACTCACACCCAAAAACTAGCTCAAAAACTAGCTCAAGAGTGGAGGATTGTCCACACACATATATATTACTCCCATTCATTCATATTTCTCGATGTGGGACTCTAATACACACCCCCCCCCCTCACGCTCAGGATTGGACATCTGAAGCGTGAAGTTTGTGGGACTGGACATCCACGGGTGGGCCACAATCGAGAAATTGAAAACCTGTGGGCTCTGATACCATATTTACGTTCAAGCTTACTTGAGAGAGAAGAAGAAGTTTGTTATGAAAATATCTCTTGTTTATTAAAATGGACATTTACAAGTATATATATAGTCAGCTATACAATTGAGATTAAACCAACTAAGTTAACCAAACCACTAAACCGTAATCTAATAACCAATAGTCTTAAATCTTTTTACAAAGAAATGCAAAGGGGAAAGAAAGCTCACCAAGTGCCTTGACTTGAGAACTTTCTGAAGAGCTTTCACATCAGCTTGAAACCCAGAGGAAGAGAGCACAGCTTTATCTGCTCTGTAGAGACATATAAAAAGACAGTAACTTTAAATATCCAATGAACAAAAAAAAAACCAAGAATTGATTTAAAGGAAAAACCCTAATAATAATAATTAAGAGGATCAAAGAAAGGTGGTTACAGTTTATGGATCTTAGAGTA